TGGTACCTATCAATAAGTACCTAAGGAAAAGAAATTTTTCTTTGAACAGATAATAAATACACAAAGGAATCCATACAACAGCGGCGGTCGGTCGTGCAAAGCACAGGAGACCGACTATCCACAAGAACTTTAAGTTTCTCTTTGGATTATTCTTCCAAGGATACTCAGACAATGCAATAATAGTCAAGCATGTTTCGAAACTGTTAATTAAAGTTCTACTGGCACAGTAGTACCAAAACCAATTTATGCAAAGATTAAACAATGCAAATTTACTCTCAGTCCAAATATAAAATTTATATTCAGCATAAGCAGAGAGAAGTGCATGGAACAATCTTGGCAAATAAATCAACAAATGAACGTTATCAAAATTAAGAAATTTCAAAATAGAGTACAAAATCGAAAATATAAATGGATAGAAATAACTCCTGATTCCAATGAGCCACTCCCAAGTCAGATATCCGTAGCCAAAAGTAAGCTTGTGAGCAACCTCCAGTGATTGCCAGTACTCGTCAGGAACATGATATGTTTGAACAACGAAAATTGATAAAATTCGCCAGACAACGAGTAAAAAGAAAATCTTACTTCTGATGAATCTTGGGAAATACATGACTTTGAGAGTCCAGTAAAACAAGGTTATGTTGTCATCGATCTAATCAATTCATTACAGTAATGATGATTGTAATACTTTTGAAGGATTAATAACTGCTTTTATTTTGTAAAAGAAGCCTATGCATCTAATTACTTAATAAAACTCAGCTAATACACCCACGTTTTTAAAAAAATACCGGGTAAACGTAAATGCTAATAAAAAAATTAAAATTCACTTGTAACGAATTAAATAGACTTTTCCGCATAACATGCAGTACGTACTTGTGCCATATTTCTCCTACTGCAATAAGAAAATATGTTGCTTTTTAAATACTTTATTTACAAATAGTACGCGAATAAACATATATGAAAGGATTCACAACATCACAACGGATATTTTAAGAGGTCGTGTCACGCGTCACGCGTCACGAACCGTGAGAATTGATAGGTAGCAATCTGTAATCCATTTACATGCACGAGTGCAAGAGAGATCAAGGATTATTCGCCCTCTCCCTCGCACCCGTGCATTCAAATGGATTGCAGAAAGTTGACGTTGACGTTGCATCTGAACGCACCCTAAACCGACAGTAGGCAACGTTGTTATGTTATGCCTTACATATATGTCACTGGCTGCAGGAGGCAGTGGGCAGTGGTGACGGTGACGATTGCGGATAACACCCACACAAGAACACAGAAACAACGGAATAACATAACACAGGAACGTTGGAATGGTATATCCCAATAACACAGAACTTTGGAATGGTATATCACAGGAACGCTGGAATGGGATAACGACACATGACTTAGGAGCTATTCACATCTATGGACATTTTTGGCTAATTTCATTATGAACGTTCATATTGAAAAGAGGGTTCCACTGTTCCGCTTAACTCAAATTGAGTGAACAGACTGAACAGACCTATACTGTGTTCTCTGTCAGTCAACATAGTTGCGACCATAGGCCATAGGCCAGCTTTGTTGCCTGATGGAAAGAGGTATAGGTTTGTCTGTTCAGTCTGTTCACTCACTTTGAGTTTAGCGGAACAGTGGAACCCCCTTTTCAATATGAACGTTCACAATGAAATAAGCAAAAAATGTCTATGTGAATAGCTCCTTAATAAAATAGGAACTTTGGAATGGTGCAACCCAATAACACAGGAACGTTGGAATGGTATAATCTAGTAAAATAGGACCATTGGAATGGTATAACAGTAACCCCATAACACAGGAACGTTGGAATAGTACAACACAGGAACTTTGGAACGGTATAAGTTATACCGTATAACCCAACAACCCAATAGAATAGGAACGTTGGAATGGTATAAACCTGCGGTAACCCGAAATGGCGGCTATCCGCCGCACTGTCCCTCGACTCGATGTTTTGTTTGATAACATAACACCAGCAGACGAAAGTTTTTGATAATCGAGCGCGCGCGCACGTACACACGCCTATATTTTTGTCACACGCACACACCATGCAGTCCGCGGATAATTCAATTTTTGTTTTCAACGGAAAAAATCTTTGAGGTAACCAACAATTTTTTATAAAAGAGAGTCATAGGTAGTGAATCATCCATGTTGATTCATTTTTATCGTAATCCGTGAGGACGAGGAGTTTGGCCGTTTTAAAAGTTTAAAACACCCCTACCACAAAAGCAATTAAAACAATGCAAAAAGCATATTTGACCATTTTTCAGTACAACGTCAACCTGAAATACGACAAGTCAACAATTCCAAATGGTATTACTTACATGTTATTCTCGAGGTTATCCTTGCATGTAAACACATGGCACAATCTAATAATTTTCCGTTACAGGAATAATCGACTTAGTTAAAATGTAATAAATGATTTCTTCACTGCCGTCGGGATAGGTAAATGTACATTTCGATGTTGATTTGACAAATGAAAAATTTTGTAATTTACTGTTATTTTTCATATCGTTTATCCAATATCAGCACAGCACAAAAGCAAAACTGATGCAATTATTGGTTCGTCGAGCACCCGCGCTCCGCTTCCTCCTTGTCACCCGCGCGCGGCCCCCCAACCACCCACAGTCCAACCACTTATCCGGTTATCCCTTCGTTCCCGTTTTTCCAAATAAACAAAGTGCAGCCTATAGAAGATAGCTCCTGTACAATCCTGTGCTATGTGCAGTGCACCAGTGCAGTTTAGCCCTGCAGCCTCTTACATATACATATATCTATGTATGTAACACGAAACGAAGAGAAGTTGCGCGTGTATATAACTGCAGGAGGCGGCCAGGAGCAAAAGAGGAGCTGTTGTTATCTCTAATAGTTTATTTCAGTGCTATAATTATACACGACTCCCTGCTGCTCGATCGCATCAGGTCGTCGTCGTCGTCATCGTCGTCGTTCGCCAAAGATGCTGATGTTCCACAGAAAGTGCGGCGACAGGATCAGCCTCGTAAATGGCCAGTGCACTGCTGTCAGAAATGTATCCGAGTTTAATTACGGTCTGGTCTTCAGTGCCGAGCCCCTCAAAGATGACGAAGTTTTTCAAGTCCGCATTGATAAAAAGGTATGTACTCTTTGTTTTTGGTGTTCTTGTAAGAGATTGTGCTCGTTTATTATATCAAGTTCAGATTTCACTGTAAACAAAGCCAAAACTCTTTTTTTTTCTGCATGGAAATACGTTCGGATTACAATTATTTAACAAGTGAAAAAGGATTGCAAATATTTTAAAAACAGCATCCCTAAAAGTTTTTACTTCTTATGTAATGGTAAACAGAACTGTGTCAATGGATCAAGTGATATCTGTGAATGGACATGTTTAACTCATCATTACATTCAATTACTTTTTTCTAGATGATGATCTGGAGTGGGAGCATAGAAATTGGAGTAACAGCATGTGATCCAGATTTTACCACTTTGCCTGCCTCTGCAGCTAGTTTAACCGAAGGATCTTGGATTATGATTGGATCCAGCATAGTACAAGATGGAGAGCCGATTCTAGAGTTGTATGGAGTTGATTTAAGTACACTCGAAGAACAAAATACTCTTGGTGTATGCAGAACATCAAAGGTATGTAAAAATCTAAAGATTAAAATTTGTCAGTTACTAGTACAATTTTACTAAAAAAAAATAAAAATAAAAAATTCACTTTTACTAGGGAGAACTTGTTTTCTATGTTAATGGTATACCACAAGGAATAGCAGCCACTGGTATACCTTCCAGAGTCTATGCAGTTATAAATTTGTACGGAAATTGCATTCAAGTTTCAACACTTCAACCAAGCAATGGAACATCTATCAGCAATGACGAACCAACTAGTCATCAAATAGAAATAAATAATGACTATAATATGGATGAGACTCCTAGTTCCTCGATAACAAATTTAGTTGGTAACTTAAACGTCAGTTGCCATGTTTTACCAAAAAATCCTAGCCTAGCAGCCATACGAGAAGGTAGATTGAGGTTTCACGAAAGGGTGGGTTCTTTGGTCAAATTGTCAAATAATGCACGCTCGGCTGAAAGAAGAAGGCCGTCGGACGAATTCAACAACGGAGTGGTCATGACTCACCGACCGTTGCGGGACAATGAACTTTTTGAAGTAATTACAATGTTCCATACAATCTGCATCATTGTAAATTTGTTCAAATAACGTTTATCATTGTTGTATTTTTAGATTCGTATAGACAGATTAATTTTCAAATGGTCAGGTAGCATTGAAGTCGGTGTTACGACACACAGTCCCACTGCACTCGAGTTCCCAGCAACAATGACGAACATGCGTTCTGGTACTACGATGATGTCGGGTTGTGGTATATTAATCAATGGAAAAGGCACGCAACGCGAGTATGGTGAATACAACCTAGACGAGCTTCGCGTAAGTAAAATTTAATGATTTCTAATAAGTGTTTTTGTGAATAATTATTTCACGGAGTAAAGTTGTACAATTTTTGATGATGTTCTTTAGGAGGGTGACAGGGTGGGCATGATAAGAAAAAGCAACGGCGACCTTCACTATTACATAAACGGTCTCGATCAGGGTGTTGCAGCTAAAGTTCCCTCTGCAGTCTGGGGGGTCATAGATTTATACGGGATGACGGTTAAAGTTACAATAGTAGATCGTGACGAGAGAGAAGAGCAGAATCTTGTTACCAGAAGAAACGCGTTGCATCTTAATGGAATAAACGGTATTTTACTTTGATTGAATGTTAGACGTTACAAATTTTGTATACCATTGGATGTACTTATTACAGAAGCTGGTGAAACAGATGAACCTATAGATAGATTGATGTTTCATACGTGTTGCGGCACTCGAGCCGATGTAATAAACAACGGACGAACAGCGCATAGACCAAAGTAATTTTTTTTTCAAGTTACGTGCTTAAAATTTTCAGTTGACATTCTCAATAAAATTGTAAATCCGATTTTTAGTGCGGTTGATGACTTCAATAACGGCGTCGTTTTAACCTCGAGACCTCTGAGATCAAGCGAATTGTTCGAAGTAAGACTGGATAAAATAGTCACGAAATGGGCTGGATCCATTGAAATTGGAGTCACCACTCATTCTCCCACTGAACTAGAATTTCCATTCACCATGACGAACGTTAGGTAAATAGAATCTGATCAACAATCATTCGGTTGTAAAAATCACTTACGACTGTCGCGTACTTTTTAGATCAGGAACGTGGATGATGACGGGAAACGGGGTGATGCACAACGGCACGACAATGATCGACCAGTACGGGCAAAATCTCGATCGGCTGCAAGTGGGCGATCGCGTAGGCGTTATGCGCAAAGATAACTCGACCTTGCACTTTTTCGTGAACGGAGTGGATCAGGGTGCAGCGGCTACCGGGGTACCCGAACGAATTTACGGGGTCATTGATCTCTATGGTCAGGCTGCTCAAGCCACTATCGTCGACAACTCGGACTACTGCAGTCCAACTACCATTAATTCTAGTCTCAGCAACACCACGTTATACTGGTAAGCCTAATAAAACATACTTTTCCGAACATAACGATCTTGGATTTCGTATTCATGGGCGTGCATGCTTTTTCACAGTGAACTGCGCTTTCATCACGTACACGGTAAGAATGCTCGGATATCTAATAACGGACTGACAGCGATGCGGCCCCGAGCTCTCGGTGAATTTAACGATGCTATCGTTGTGGCGAATCGGGCGCTTCGCGATGGTGAAATATTCGAGGTGTCGATTGATAAAATGGTCGAACGTTGGTCTGGAGCGATCGAAGCTGGTGTCACTGCTATAAGGTAATTTTAACGTACTGCACTAAGCACAACGAGTTCATTAATCGTTCACGACAACCGTATACTTGATATTAAGTGTGTCAGTTGTTTAATTGGTTCGTATCTTTATTACAGGCCGGATGAGCTCGAATTTCCACCCACGATGACGGACATAGATCACGACACGTGGATGCTGTCAGGCTCAACGATAATGCGGGACGGCGTGACAGTTCGCAATAATTATTCGTGCGATTTGGATAAACTCGTCATAGGCAATCGACTCGCCATGATGAGGTTCGCCGACAACAGTCTGCACTTTTATCTCGATGGAGTGGATCAAGGCCCCGCTTTTACTGACATACCAACTCACGTTTATCCCGTCATCGATCTCTATGGCCAGTGCGCTCAGGTGCGAGTCGACTTTTGTTGCTCTGAATTTTATAAAGTTACATTTTATTTTCTTTGATACTAAGACAAGGAAAAAAAAAATTGGTTTTTGGGATGCAGACTGCATGACGGTACTTATGGATGGATGGAATTAAGTACAATCATAATAATGCTTGCAGGTGACTATATACCCTGATCGCCGAGACATGGTTCTCCAACCGTATCTGCCTTCCGAGAACAGTACAGCGTCCCAACAGCCTACCTCGGTGATTCAACCGCTCGCTCAAACCGAGGTGACCCACAAGTTCCACGAATCCGCGGGTCTGAACATTCAGCTGGACACGGGTCGCACTGTAGCAACGCGCTGCCGCGAGTACAGTAACGCGGTGCTGCTGAGCGACTCGGTGCTCGAGAACAACGAGCTCTTTGAGATCAGTATACAAGAAGTGGCGCGCGAATGGAGTGGCTCGCTGAGGATCGGTTTGGTTAGCAACGAGACCGGCAGCTGGCTCACCTCCATGAACTTTGTCCAGGTGATGACGTCCATACCCGCGGACGCGTGGTACCTTGCTGGCAATCAAGTGCGCCACAAGGGATACTGTCTCAGTCTTAATTACTGTCCGAGCTTGGATTGGCTACGCGTGGGCGACAAAATCGGTATGAAGCGCACGAGCGAGGGAAACCTCAAGTTTTACGTGAACCGCGAAGACATGGGTGTTGCCGCGTCAAACGTGCCTGAGCTGTGTTATGCTGTGGTCGAGCTGTTTGGCAGTACCGTGGCGGTGTGCATAACGAGCACGAAGCAGCAGAATGCCACGATATCGCTCAATGCCAGTCTCAGGCTGCAGGATTCCCTGGAGCTACTACTCGATCCCATGCCACCGGGTATCCGGAGCGAAGTTGGCATGGACACTTCGGGCGATGCTTACGGCGAAGTTAAATTATCAAACGATGTATTGACGACGCCAACACAGGGGATCAGCTCGATTGGTGAGATGGACTGGCCTTACGAGTTTCACGAAAATCACGGTAGAAACGTGCAGCTGGAGAAGAAAACTATCGCCAAAAGGGTCGCGAGTTACAACCAGGGCGTAGTGATGTCCAGTAAGCCTTTGATAAAGAACAAATTGTTCCAAGTGAAGGTCGAAAAAATCAACGATCGATGGGTATCGGGAATCTTATGCGGTGTAACGTGCATTTCGCCCGATAAAGTCATATTTCCGGTGACCGCCCTCGGATTGAAAAAACATTCATGGATCATATGTAGCGATTGGATATCGCACAACGGAACAAAAGTGCGGTCCTCTTATGGAGCGAACATGGAGAATTTGCACACTGGCTCGACTATTGGTCTACTCTTGGACGAGGACTCGCGACTCCACTTGTACATAGATGGCCTCGACCAAGGCGTCGCGGCATCGGATTTGCCCTCCTACGTTTACGCTGTCATTGACTTGTATGGACAGTGTGAAAGGGTCTCGATATTGGGACCAGTTGTTGAAGCTTCAAATAATTTCAATGGCAACGATCTGGCCATTGGCGAGACGAATAACCTGATGGAAAGACTAACCATTGAGACAGATGATGTGGAGAATTCGAGAGAAAAGGCGGATCTTGAATGCCACGAGAAAGAGAACGGTACTGCAACGTTACTGGACGAACCACCGGATCGTAGTGTAGCCAACGCTAGAGAACAAAGTGAGGATAGTTGCAGCGAAGGTAAAGTAAAATTTGACTATTCATCTTATTTTTAAGCTCTTAAATATACAAATTCTAACTTTTGTTGTAGAACTGAAAAATCCCCAAACACATACAATACCTCCGAGTAGTCTACAGTCCGACACGAATTACTCGGGAAGCGGCTCGGATCAAGTTTCTACCGCTGATACGGGCACTGCTAGCATCCCAGATAACAATCCAGATGGTGATAAAGAAATACCTTCAACTGATTCCGTTCCTGCTCCAAGTGCTCCTAGCGACACAAACATTGCCACGGAAGATAGTAACAGTGAAAATCGCGAGTCTTGCTCCAACGTTGAGCTGAATAACGTGACCAATATGAACATTAGGGAAGGCTCCGCCATAAATACCGCAAACATGACCAGTCTGAGCGCTGCTATCAATGGAAGCAATGCAAATAACGCGATTAATGAAAGCATAGCTTCGAATAGCTCGCTAAACAATAATAACGTAACGACAAATGGCAACGTGCGAGCTTGGCATTCGAATTACTGCGCACCCACTACGCCACAGGATCTAGTACTGAATCTTCATCGACATTCCTTGGTAAATATCTTTCTATCAATTAAATTAATGTGAAATAGTGTAAAACAAAGATTGAATCTTTTATTGACATTTCAGAGTCTTCAGATGCCAAACAATAGTTTTCCAAACAATATTTTAAGTAGCGTGCAGCCATTCTCTTTGCTCACCTCAATGCCGTCCACACCCCTCACAACAAGTAATCTCATAAGCGCGACGCCATCCAAAAAATGCGAGTACCTTAAAGCTTGTGTACGCCTGAAAAACTCGTTGGTACTGCCTGACGAATTTTTCTCGCTCGAAGAGGTGCTGTGCTACTGCAGCTTCTGTTTTAAAGCTAACGCGGATTCGATGATATGTAAAAAAGGAGAGCCCCTAGCCGAGTTTGCTGCGCCTGTGGGTTGGGTCAGGTTTCCGTTGAAGCACACCATCAATGCTAATCAGATACCTCAAAGTACGACAGACAAGTGGCACGTAGCCTTTTATGGGACGAGGATCGACACTGTGAGGTATTTATAATGATTTCTGGTCAAAAATAGATGGCTCCAATTTGTACATATGTGCATTTAATATCAAATATTTTCTACAGATCAATTCTTGATAGAGGTGAGCTGCTGACAAAAGAACAGCTCGATACCGATTCATTAACAGGCTATATTATTGATAATCAAAATCCTCAGGTGGTATTCTCACCAAATATTAAATCGGCAAATTCTGAAGAATTTAACAAGCAATATTCGTGAGTTTTGAAACTGTTGACCATTTGATTTATGTGATGATCGTTGTCTTATCGATTTAATTTTGTATTTCTAGGTACATCGATACGGAATTAAATAAAAAAGTCAATGCGTCGACGGCCTTTCAGCTCCTCGTCAAACCCGGCTCGTATACGACGTCATGTAAAAAGGATGGTTCGGATTCGCAGTTGGAGTACGTAGAGTGGGCTACCAAAGAAACTGGGGCTACGGTTATTATAGCCCTCCTCATTTACCTAGATAAATTTTAAGGCGCGAATTGCACTTAATTAGTCAACGATAACCCAATAGAGAAGTTCACCTCCGTGTTTTCAGGTAGTTATCTTTCATGTTTTTTTTTTTTTTTTTTTTTTTACAAGTTTCACTGTGATCTCTCATTTACAATAGATTTTTTTGTTTTTATCGTAAATTCACTTGAAATTTATTTTAATGAATCTCAAAAGTGAATAGGTAGTTTTTAATTTATTATGCAATTAAGCTTTAACTCCGCTAACTAGATGTCTACGATCACAGAAGATAGCTAGACGTTATTATACCTATGATAGCTTAGAGTACTTAAAATAAGAGGATAAATCATCACACGTTTTTGTCATTTCCCGAAATGAATCATTCTTTAAGTTTAAATTATAAACGTTCATCAGTATTCCATGGATAACGTGACATAAGGAATAAAAAAAATTTTTTTTTCTTTTGCTACACTTATCCTCCCCCTTGAATTTGCCGAAAAAAAAGGTGAATCGATTAGCAAATATCACGCAACATAAAAATAATATGCGATGATTTAATTTTATTAATTTTATAAAATCAACTACATTATAAAATAAGTATGATGTATGGATAAAAGGGAAATCAATGATTTGTATAACTGAAAGAGTAAGTTGGCTATAAAAAATGAAGATTATTTTGTGAATATATATGCTTCTTACACGAACTTTTTACAGTCGTTCTTGCAAATAAAAGTGAAAAACGATTGCCATCGTTTTTGTTATAAATATGTATATGTACATGGACAGACGCAGATGTTTAATTGTTAAGGAAAATTCTATTGTAAATCAGGAAATGTGTACTATTGCACACACGAAAGTATATAGATTTAATTTTTATGACGAGCAGTGTGACGCTCAAAAAAATAATTATTAAATTTTATCGTTGCGCCACGGCTGCACACAAAGACATATTATATACCTACACACTCACTCATCGCAAACACGTCGAAAATCATTCGTATTATGACTCGTAATTCTATACACACCAGAAAACATCAAATAACCTATGGTAAAAAAAAAAAAAAAAAAAATAATGATAATAATAAACGCAATATTTTAAGTTATCAATGAAACTCTGTTTCTGCTTGCCTACCGTTTAGTTTATTAAAAATTCCAAGTACATCCCCTCACAAGTACAATCTAAAGTCTTACGTAACTACACAAGCTCGTACAATGTTTGACTCCTCGTTAAACGTTTAAGGCATATCATATACGTATTTACTTTTCTTTAGCAAGAATAAATTTGATTTGTTTGCTCGGACGAAGCCTCTCTGTCGCCCGAAAAAAAAAAAAAAAAAAAAACATCTCATTTAAACGACACGTAAAAATAAAACAGATATAAATTCGACAGCGTGCCGCGTGTACGGTGTATTTTGATCGGCACTTATACCCAGACTCGAACGCTCATGTCCCAGGAGCAGCTGACGAGCGCCATGCCAGTGCCAGACATGCTCAGCGATGTCACCCGATTGTCGTGGCCTGTCAGGACAGCTGTGAAATTTCCAATGTATTGTTACTTTAGTCTTGTTACGAAAAAAAATAGTAATAGTAAAAGCATGTACTGTTGTGGGTGGTTTTGAGGGTGTCGAAACAGTGAATGTCCTTCTCGTCGGTGCCGCAAAACATGAACCTGCCGCTGAAGGAAAGAGCACTCGACGTGAAGCCCGGGTTCCCCGGTGGCTTGAAGGAGCCGATCTGCTGATCGGAGCGCAGGTCCCACAACCGGGCCGTTTTATCCTCCGAAGCTGTGACGAAACCGTGACCGGATGGATGGTACTTGTTTACCAAAAAAAAAAAAAAAAAACTTAATTTAAAAAAATTGTCGACGCGCATTTGGTGTAAAAATAGCTGAGCGCGATTAAACGCACCATAGAGGGCAAGCACTTACGCAGACGGAGTTGACGTCGGCCTCGTGCCCGAAGAAGGTCTGATTGGCCTTTTCGTTGTTGATCTCCCGGACGTCCCAGAGCTTGCAGGTCCGGTCGACCGAGCCCGTGAGGAAAGTGTTGTTGTCGGGCGCCAAGCTCAGACTGGCTATGTCACCCGCGTGGCCCGGAAAGTCCGTCGTCTTCTTGTTCGCCTCTAGATCCCAGATGCAGCTGTTTCAAGGAAAAAAGAAAAGGGATGAGCCAAGGTGACGGTGGCCGGTCGTACGCATATTTGTAACGACACTGTACTCACATCTTCATGTCCCCGGAGCCGGTGATGAGGCGGCCGTCGTCGAGGAACCGACAGGAGGACAGGAAGCCCTCGTAGCCGAGGAACTCGCGGGTGATTTTGGCCGTGCCGGAAGCGTCGCGGTTGTTGAGGTCGTAAACGGTGCAGGCGTTGTCCATGCCGCCACAGGCGACAAAGTTACCCGAGGGGGCGAACGCGACCGACATGACCCAAGCCGAGCGCAACGGGATCACCTGCACCTTGTTACCCGTCCACGTGTCCCAGATTATCAACTTGCCGTCCAGGGAACCAGTCACGCAGTGCCTATGTACAATGTATTTTTATTTCCAATTTTTCTTCAGGATACGTCGTTATAGTGTCCGACTGTTGGTTGACACCCACTACTTCTTTTACTGTGTATATTATGTTATAATTTTTCGGAAAAGTGCATCGTCTGACCATACTCGCGCATCATCTACTTAAAGATATGATCATTCGTCAAAACGGCACATAGGTTTAGCAAAAGTAACGCCTCTGCGTTTCCAAATGGTTAAAAAAAAAAAAATAAAAATACAAGAATTTAAACTCAGTTACCTTTGTATATTACATTATGGATATTCGATTCAACTTAAAGAAAAGTAGAGTAATCCGTGTATACGTATATAATATATAAGGTAGTTTCTATATTTATGTATAGCTATGACGCGAGAGTGCGACGGGGCTTCAAATAACGCGCACTAATCATTGGATTTAAGCTTTGCCGCATGACTCGCGTAGAAGTATGGTTCCGATGTTTTTCACCAGCAACAACTATATCAATGTTTGTGTAAAATGTGTAAAATTAGGATTGGCGCTCGTTCACGGCACCACACTTGATAGAGTATAAGGTAGAGGAGAAAGGCTGAGGTTTTTTTTTTTNCGATTTTATTATAAATAAGTAGCGCAATTTGCATAAGAAAAATTAAATGCGTTAATTTGAAGTGGCCCACACATTTTTTACATTAATAATATATTTATTCTTATTATTGTACATATGAGCCATTGTTGAAGGTTTTAAAGTTAAACTACTAATTATTATTAGCCAGCCCCAAACCCCGAAATCGTCAACGAGATAGTTAATTTTTTATTTAAATTTAAATATCTCGATAAGTTATTATTATCAATGATACATTGACTATAATTATTACATTTTCATGCGACACATGCAGTTATTATCCATTTTCAACCATGTAATAATATCGGTCAGTTAGTTTTCCTCAAAACTAAAAACAAAAAAACGATTATTCCAAAACTATTAAATTGCACAAGTGTCTTATTGAAACAGTCGTGGTGAAACTTTGCGTTGGTTCATATATTTATATATACTAATCAGTATATATTATGCATGAAGAATACTTTGAAAATTTTATTTTTTAACCCAAAACAGAGGTGAATAAACACTTTTCTTGTTTTAATGCCAATGTCTTTTTTCGTCAATAATATGTAATGATATTTTTGTTTAGGCAGCGTTTTTGAAATATCCTATGCTTTGAACCGTATATCCTTTCTGAGCATTTTTTACCGTGGAAAAATACTCGCTTTAAATGCATCTGAAAAATATGTTCTAAGCCGAATCATTCGTTACACCTACGTTCTCTCTTTCATCGTATGGCCAAGTTGATGATAAAATCCTATGTTGAAAAAAAAAATAAAAAAAAATTTCAACCGCAATACTTGAAAAGCCGATTAAGTACTTATCGGACGTTGCTCCAAAATAATGAAAGATACGTCCAAAGATCTATACTTCCTCGAGCGTGTCCGCGCAGTGCGTGGGCGCGATACGCACAGATCCGCGTCCACCATACGCATCCCGAGACTCGAATCCACACAAGTTCTCCTTCTCTTGCTCTTCTCATCCTTCACGATACGATACATATAGGTATATACAAGATATATTTATCCCCCAGAGAGCTCTGCAGCGGACGAGGGGGGAACAGCTGACTCGGCTGGTGGAGGCTCGCAGCCGCACAACATTGCCAGAGTGTGCAGTCGAAGCCGCGTGTTCGTCGCGATCATACTCATCGCGTATGTGCTTGCAATTACAATTCATTGTTCATCCCCCCCCCAAGTGTCGTAATATTAGTATAAGTAAGTAGGTATCGATAAAACTCGCGTGTAGTCTTAAGGATAGCCATGAAGACGAGGATACTGGCTGGACTGTGGCTACTCCTGCTCAGCTACGTCTTTGCCTCGACCAGCGACAGCGATGGTAAATTTACAAGTGCATCAGTGTTTTAATTTATGAGCAATACTTATCATCCAATCTAATATACGTTCTCTTTTCCGTGTACGAGCTTTGGCTTTGCCTTTTTTTTCATCACTTCTTCTTTTGTCTCTTGTTCTTCATTTCTTTCTTTCGCGTGTGCGTGCGATGTGTGGAGATCACTGGAGCTGCATATGTACCGCGCCTATATACGTAGCCGCTATATTATAATAGGTATATGTGAGCCCTGCACGCGCGCGCTGTGTATAATATTATCCGTGGGTTGTAAATCACGAAGATGTGGAATCAAGAAATTTTATGGTGGATAAGCGTTTTTAAAACAAGATCGTTTTCTCGAAAGGGGTTGGGCCGCGTTGTTGCGGCAAATCTTCTATTTTCGTGAGTTACAGGCGCACACGTTACTCGTGTATGTCTTTGTCCCATTTTTAAAAAGTTGAACCTATTCTTGAACGGATTAACGATTAGAAAAAATAATTTTTTTTTTTTTTTTTTTTTTTTTTTTTTTTTTTTTCAACATGTGTAAAACAAAGGGGGAAAAAAAATAGCGCTAACCTACTGTCCCCGCTGAAGTGTACCGAGTTGACTTTGTTTATGTGTCCCTTGAGATTCTTTTTCGTCGTTAATTTGACCTTCGGAGGATCGGAAACGCTGCCGCACGTTTCCTCCAGGGTCGTGTCCTGCATTTTTTTCTGATCCTCCTAAGTTGGAACGTACAACGGTCAAAATATGCAAAATGTCCATGAATGTCTTACAATAAACAGCAGAATGTCAAAATATTATTATTTTTATTATTTTTTTGCATTCACACCGCCAAGGTGTCTTTTGGAAACCGTTCGAACGGCGCTCGAATGATTCGTTACGGCTTCTCTCGCACCTTGAACTCTTCGAGGTATTTATATATATAACCGGTTCGGGAATACAGGGTACTTTTCTCTCGATTAAAAGTCCATCCAACGATACACCCAAGTATATAGGTGCACCGATTGTCGAGGACCTCCTCAATTGACGGGGGGTGGGGGGACTTGTAAGTATATTTTTTCATCCAACAAAAGGAAAAACAACGAAAGACGTAATGTAGTGAGGAGTGGCGGGGGTTTGAATGCGCACCTTGCACTTTTGGATCAAGTCGTCCAGCTCCTGTTTGAGCGCGGTGGTCTCGGCGTCGTCCTTCCCCATGGCGCTCGCCTACTGAGCCCCTCGAGACGAGAAAAACAAACGGAGGTGGCGAATTGCAAAATGATTCTGCAACTGCTCAACGAAAGAAAGAAAGAAAGAAAGAACGAAAGCAAGTGTAGTGTACAACCGACGCTCTCAGCCCGTAGCCGCGGCCGTTCTAGAAAAACTCGAAGGTAGGAAAGCAGCTCGAGCGGCCTACCGCCCCGTTGTGTCGTCGTCGACGGGGAAGCCCCCCAGGGCGGCCACTCTCTCTCCCTATATGCGGCTGCACGCGCTACGTATACGTGTAGGTACCTCCACTGACCCAGTAATCGTATTAAAGCCGGCGCAATCCCATTTAGCCGGACCGTCCTCTCGGGCGCGGCCACCCCCCGTGTGTCCCGTCCCTCTGTCTGTCTATACACCTCTATACCCTCCCTCGTTGTCGAGGGCGTGCACACGCGCGTTTACTCGTACATACAAAGAGGAGGACGGAACCATCGGCCATAAGTCGATTAGCTTCATACACACTTAGGTGCTTACACCTCACAGGTATATATATATATATATACATATGTTTTAATCAATGTGTACCACTGACACATTGCGCGTGTAACATACAGGTACTCGTGTCGCAATCGTGTTATTCTCACCCCCTCCCCCCCCAATCTCTCCCCGGTTATTGTTGTCGCTATACGCTCTTTACGTAAGTGTCTCTTTTACGACTCCAACTAACTTTATTATAGTATACGTAAATAACACTCAGCCGATCCCCCATGTTATACTTATACTTACTTATTTATTTTCAGAGTATATTTTTTGTGTAGCTATAGATATCAGACGGTAGAACACCTGTATGATCACTTTACTTCCACTCTTGCGAGCGTGACTCGCCTGCACGTATATATATATATATATATATATATGCACGTATTGTGATGGAAATACCAATAGGTGATGGGCCGTGAAGTGTGAAGGGAAGGGTGAGAACTGGTGTATTATATATTGTAGCCTCGGGAAATCGGTAAGGGATAATCATATCTTGAGCGTCAAAGTGGAGAGGAGGTACGCGGCTTTATAACTGATCAAAGTATATATATTATGGGTTGGATATGACAATGGGCGTTCGAGCTTTATCTTGAACGCCACATAATATATTATATTATACGCTTGTAGATTATTTCATGCATATTGACGTACGTGTTATCTATATGGGTTAATTATTTTGTATATTGGTTTTATACGTATGTATACACCTACTTGCTTTGTATTTTCACTTCGGCGATGTTTACTTTGTGAAAAATCTATGTGCTTTTTAATTCATTGGCTTTTTCTCTCTTAAATTTATATGGCCGTACACGATTTGAGCTAAGCTTACTCGTATTTTCGATTTCGAAGAGATGTGGACTCATTTGTCAAAGTAAACGTAAGATCATGAGAAATTGCTGCTGGACCTCTATAATTTTTTTAAACCTAGATCACCTAACTGTGCACAGAACCAACGAACGCAAGTGTACTTGCGGTGATACTTTTTTTCTACCGATTGGTCACGATAGCGTTTTTTGCCGGCCCATAGAGAAAGCCCGGCTATACCGATCTTTCCGATCGGAGACGCGTGAAATCCATCAGCTGCCGAAAGTGTCGCCTCGGTCACGCTCGCCCGCGCTTCCGCGGTCTATAAGTCCCCGAGCGCGTCCGACTCGCCAGATAGTTGCCAGATAGCCTTTTCCCGCGCGAGTCGACAATGAAATACCCGATTTTTCGCTTTCTTTCGTAAAACAGCTTTTCTTACGTTTGCAATTTTGCACATTGATTTTCTTTTCCTCGCTCCTACACACCTTGGCGCTATGTTATTCGCTCGGTTGGTTTTTTCCCTACCCGCGTTATTTTTACTCGCAAGCGCCAGGGATGGGCAATCGATCGGGAACGATGAAACTCGCCAGAGCTGCAGCCGAGGCTTGAAGTACGCCAACTACGTCAGTAGAAATAACAAAAATTCGTCGTGTCAGGAGGTCGAGTGCAGAGGTGTGCCGAGCACCTTGCGCTGGAGCAGAGATCGGCATCGGGGTCGGTGCTCTTGTGAATCTGTCGGTGCAGGTGAGTGGGGTCTGCGGATACTTATTTATATTTCTAAACTGGTATATCGAGGCATGGGATCGATTGCAGTAAAATTGTGGTTGAATAGAATTGAATTTTATTTTTATTCATAAATTAAATATATTACAAAAATAACAACACTCTGTCCCTTACTTGCTATCTTTTTTAGCATATATAACAATTCTTTTTTTTTTCCAGCTTACTGCGTTAGAAAACATTTTTAACAACTTTTTTATTGACACAAGTCGCACCACATTTTATTATTTGTCTCTATGTTTATATCTGCATAAATTGTCGCCTTTTGACCAGATATTACATTTGTACAAAGCGTATGCATCACCATTAAATTCAAGTGATGCACACAGATCAAGGAACATTTATGCTTCAGAACGTTAAAGTACGCCTTCGATAAAACCTTTCCTCGTGAATGATGGGTCTCCCGGTGAAAATCGCTACTTTGCTGTCTATGATTTCTCCCACGAATGTATAGCAGTACAGGCATCCAACCAAAATGCCTCCAAGATGTCCAACGAACGAGGCATTAGGTACCAGCAGATGGATTAAAATCAACTCGGCCCAGACAGCAAATTTACTCGGTACTCTGAAACCACCCACGTTCTCTGGTCTATCTTGCTCCTCGCACACAACGATGACTTTTAATGCAAAGAGAACGGCTGAGAATCCAATAGCGCAGGTCGTAAAATACGCATAGTCCTCCGTAACTTGGGTCAGTACGTATCCCAACAGTACGTACATGGCACTACAACCGACTGACAATAATCCAATGAGCGCTGCGAAATTGGCTGTGCCGTACATTGGCTCGAGGTACGAACCTTTTAGGAGAAACGAGATCATGTTGTAGTAGAGGTGCATGTCAGNTTTTTTTTTTTTTTTTTTTTTTTTTTTTTTTTTTTTTTTTTTTTTTTTTTTGTGGTACTGCAAGTAAAAGTATAATCAATTATAAAACGTCAGATGAACCAATAAGGCAGTAATAACAAACGTAGCTTATCGATCACTTCAATGTGGCACGTTCAACGACAGCTTTCATTTTACATATGTTAAAATCAGGGGAAAAAAAAAAGTTAATTGCTTCCGTTTCATCTGTAAAGTCCGAGTTCATCATCCTACGTGGGTACAAATGAGGGGTGTACGTGACAGAAATCACGCGGCTCGGCTATAATCGTGTGGATCTAGAAGCAAAGATATTCTATTTTTGTACGCGATGTTCCAAAAACAAAATTAAATAAACTAATGGGAAAAGCCGCCACCGTAATCCTGCAGTGTTCGTCCTCTCATTCACATGCAACATGCCAACTTGAGTTTTATCCACGAGTTTGATGAAAAATGCGTTAACCAACATAGTAGGCATTTTCGAGAAAACGAGAGTGCCGCAACGGCTTTTACGAGGCGATCACCAATCCCATGAGTTAAAAGTACGGCTCGATTGAAGTAATTCTGCGATTCTTGCGCGTAAGTCAGCCATGATTGTAACAAATGGACAGGAGGGAACAAAATTTTCAGTTCTACTATGGAGTAATCTGATTTACTTTTCAGTCCAGACGCAGCCTATGAATAATTTCGCCGATTAGTATTTACCTAACATAATTGTCATTATAAAGCTATAAAAATCGACAAGTAGCAAATAACATAGGGACGATAAAAATAACTTATCGCAAGATAAGTATCGTATAGGTATGTACGTCGCGTGGCTTCGAGAAAAGCGACCAGAGCGCGCATTCATACATCACGCGAAGGAAAGCCGAAGAGCAGCCGGCAAACGGGCTGCGGCCGGTTTTTGAAGGCACTACTTTACTTCTCGCCTCCGCCCGTGCCCTATCGGCCTAGGAACTTGTACACAATCAATCAAGTATACACTCTCATGTGGTTGCACAACGTATTTTGTTATGGTCGAGTCCATGGCATCTCGTCTGTCCTGGGATGAATTCATCTCTCACATTGATTTGTGTTTACTCCACAGCTAGGCCCCTTGGATTTATAAATTGTCACAATACCTACGAGATGCAAGCGGTGCACACGCGCTACTTATCTCATTAACTTTGGACTGCGATCCCAAGCACACAACACATACTTGATAACATTATCGTTATACCTCAGCACAAGTATATACAAGTGCCATATATCAACGTATTCAACAAATTTTACACTTGGAAAATAAGATGTACTGTTGTTATACATATATTTCACGTGGTGCTCATTACCGGCGGGCACGCAAGATTTTATCACGGGGTGTATAAAACGATTACCCTGAACTCACTATCATCCCGTCGCATCTCTCGGTACCTATTAGGTACATAATCTCTGGTCTAGAGCATATTATAACCGATAGAGAGAGAGAGAGAGAGATAGATGTTCCGACCCAAATGTCGCTCTCAAACGAACTAATTGTTTTTTACGTCTCTTTCCTCGTATAACTGTTATATATTTATATCTCGTTGCTGCTACCGCTGCACAAGTACCGCTTAAGTTTATATTTTATAAGTAAGCCCGGAGACAGGAAAGGAAATATAATGTACCGCCCATTGTCCGGAGCGCTCTGTGCGCGTCACGGTGTGGTCAACCATATGAGAAACTGTTACAATGATAAGCTTGACGAGTTAACGAAACGAAAGGCAGCCTCGCAACACCTCATTCGAGTCGGAGTGGTCTGCATTGCAGGTGACGCGCTCGTCTTCACGGTGGCGACCAACGAGACGGAGGGCTTCCGGCGCTTCGCGCGCTCCACCGAGGTGCACGGCTTCCGGGATCAGCTGCGCGTGCTGGGCCTCGGCCAGGCCTGGCGCGGCGGGGACGTCAAGCGGTACGCCGGCGGCGGCCAAAAGGTCAATCTCTTCCGCGAGGCGCTCGAGGAGTACAAGGACGACGCCGACAAGGTCGTTTTGTTCACGGACAGGTGAGCTAGCTCTTACTCCCACATTTGGATCTCCACTGGTGTTTCGATATACATATGCTTATACTCTGGCTACAATGTTCAGCTACGACGTGATATTCCTGGCCGGACTGGACGACGTAGTGCGCAAGTTCAAGGAGTGGGACGGCGGCGCGAGGGTCGTCTTTTCCGCGGAGGAGTACTGCTGGCCCGACGCCAAACTGGCCAGCGAGTATCCCGAGGTGAAGCGCGGCAAGCGCTACCTCAACTCCGGTGGCATCATCGGCTACGCGAACGACCTTTACGGCATACTGAACAGCGCCGAGATCGAGGACGCCGAGGACGACCAGCTTTTTTACACGAGGGCGTATCTGGACCCGGTGCTGAGGCAGAAGCACGGGATCAAGCTCGACCACAAGTCCGAGATCTTCCAGAACCTCAACGGCGCCGTTTGTGAGTTTATTGTTTTTTCGGGCTCGTCTCGTTGTCGTTTGATTTCAAGCGCGTGGTTCCTTTTCAGACGACATCGAGCTGCGCTTCAAGGGTAACGAGGCGTACGTCCAGAACACGGCCTACAACACGGTGCCCTTGGTCGTCCACGGCAACGGGGGTAGCAAGCTGCTGCTCAACTCCCTCGGGAACTACGTGGCGCGCGCCTGGAGCCCCGAGGAGGGCTGTCTCGGTTGTTGGGACGACACGATCGAGCTCGACCCTCAGCGTCCCGAAGAGTTCCCCGTGGTGCTGGTCGCCGTGTTTATCGAGAAACCGACGCCCTTCCTCGAGGAGTTTCTCCACAAAATCCGCGACCAGCGGTATCCCAAGGATCGGCTGCATCTCTTTGTTCGCAACAACGTGGCCTACCACGACGACTTTGTCCAAGATTTCGTTCGGGAGGTTGGCCAAGAGTACAGGAGTCTCAAGCAGATCAAGCCGGATGACGAGTTTTCCGAGGTGGACGCGCGCAATTTGGCGATGTAAGTCAGCTTTGACTCTCGTTCGTGAGATTTTTTTTTTTTTATGATTGTTTAACGTTTAATTTGTCGCTCTAGGGACTACTGCCTCTCCGTCAAATGTTCTGGCTACTTCTCCATAGACTCAGAGTCGCAGTTGGACAACGAAAACACTTTGAAACTGCTGGTGGAGCAGCAGCGGTTAATCGTTGCACCCCTGCTCGTGCGACCTTTCAAGGCCTGGAGCAATTTCTGGGGAGCTATTACCGACGATGGCTTCTACGCGCGTAGTTCGGATTACATGGACATCATTGACAACGAAAGAAGGTAAATTGCATTTCGCATACAATTTTAGTGTAAATCGAAAAGTTGAAAAACTAATTAAAACTCGAAAGGGCTGTTTGTGGAGTCGTCATTGCACATTACCATGCGATTTTTGAGACAGGGTTGATTGAGAAAAAGTCTACTTTCTAACATAATATAGTCTCTACGTGAGAGCAATACATTTTTTTTAATAATAATTACATAAACTAAAGAAACTCGTCCACAGTCGTCTTATTGAATCTTTTTTTCACACAGTGCAATGTACTCGAACGAAATTTTTTTTCACGGAAAAAAAATTCCGATTTTTAAAACTTTCATCGCGAAATTTTTTCAATTAAAATGTTTTGTACTCTGCTAGATTACAATTTTTACAGTAAAATTTTANAATTAAATATATTACAAAAATAACAACACTCTGTCCCTTACTTGCTATCTTTTTTAGCATATATAACAATTCTTTTTTTTTTCCAGCTTACTGCGTTAGAAAACATTTTTAACAACTTTTTTATTGACACAAGTCGCACCACATTTTATTATTTGTCTCTATGTTTATATCTGCATAAATTGTCGCCTTTTGACCAGATATTACATTTGTACAAAGCGTATGCATCACCATTAAATTCAAGTGATGCACACAGATCAAGGAACATTTATGCTTCAGAACGTTAAAGTACGCCTTCGATAAAACCTTTCCTCGTGAATGATGGGTCTCCCGGTGAAAATCGCTACTTTGCTGTCTATGATTTCTCCCACGAATGTATAGCAGTACAGGCATCCAACCAAAATGCCTCCAAGATGTCCAACGAACGAGGCATTAGGTACCAGCAGATGGATTAAAATCAACTCGGCCCAGACAGCAAATTTACTCGGTACTCTGAAACCACCCACGTTCTCTGGTCTATCTTGCTCCTCGCACACAACGATGACTTTTAATGCAAAGAGAACGGCTGAGAATCCAATAGCGCAGGTCGTAAAATACGCATAGTCCTCCGTAACTTGGGTCAGTACGTATCCCAACAGTACGTACATGGCACTACAACCGACTGACAATAATCCAATGAGCGCTGCGAAATTGGCTGTGCCGTACATTGGCTCGAGGTACGAACCTTTTAGGAGAAACGAGATCATGTTGTAGTAGAGGTGCATGTCAGAGCCGTGCTCAAAGTTTGATATGATGAAAGAACGCCAGTCTCTGCGTTTGATCACTTTCAAGGTCGATATGCACATGTCCTCCGAGTTCCATGGCACTCTGATAACACCTGTGTACAAGAGACTTTGTGCAGCGATGCCCATTAGGGTGCAAGGTGGAATTCTGTCAAAGCCAAAATTCAAGACCTGGCTGAGCAGCAATATTAAGCCATACTGCAATCCTGGCTGTCGCCTCTGCGTCGCCATGTCGACTTGATTTCTTTGCGATTTTCTGCAAAACACACACTTTGATCAAGCCTCACTTGTATACTAGTTGTTCCTCATAAATCACTGTTTAGCTTGTGCACGTTTTATTCTAAATATTATCTTCGTTCGGATAGTATAAAAAACACTGTTAGTTCCATGCACGGAATCGTATTTCTCAATTATTTTTACACAGGTTGACAGGTGAATAAACACTTTTAGCAAACTGATGCAATTCCGACAAGCATCTTGCTTGACATACACTACTTAAGTACTTACTTACGGGCTACGCGATGAAACTGACGTGTCCTTTTTTGAGATAATTCAGCTTTCAAGCATTTCGGAGCACGCACGCAATGCGTTTTGTTTATATACGCAAAGGCCAAAGGTTAGGCTGTCTCACGTTAAGGTGCCTTTACATGAAGTTTTTACTGTTGGGCTGACGCTGACAACTGCAGCGCATCAAAATGAAAAGTAATGAATGAATTATTTTTTCAATGTCATAAAAGCGATATTTACTTTTTTTTTGTTATTATAGTGTCAGTCCGAATATCCAAGTTATTATTATTCAGTCGTTCGATAAGAGATCAGCCGATTTTATTATAAATAAGTAGCGCAATTTGCATAAGAAAAATTAAATGCGTTAATTTGAAGTGGCCCACACATTTTTTACATTAATAATATATTTATTCTTATTATTGTACATATGAGCCATTGTTGAAGGTTTTAAAGTTAAACTACTAATTATTATTAGCCAGCCCCAAACCCCGAAATCGTCAACGAGATAGTTAATTTTTTATTTAAATTTAAATATCTCGATAAGTTATTATTATCAATGATACATTNTAAAGTCCGAGTTCATCATCCTACGTGGGTACAAATGAGGGGTGTACGTGACAGAAATCACGCGGCTCGGCTATAATCGTGTGGATCTAGAAGCAAAGATATTCTATTTTTGTACGCGATGTTCCAAAAACAAAATTAAATAAACTAATGGGAAAAGCCGCCACCGTAATCCTGCAGTGTTCGTCCTCTCATTCACATGCAACATGCCAACTTGAGTTTTATCCACGAGTTTGATGAAAAATGCGTTAACCAACATAGTAGGCATTTTCGAGAAAACGAGAGTGCCGCAACGGCTTTTACGAGGCGATCACCAATCCCATGAGTTAAAAGTACGGCTCGATTGAAGTAATTCTGCGATTCTTGCGCGTAAGTCAGCCATGATTGTAACAAATGGACAGGAGGGAACAAAATTTTCAGTTCTACTATGGAGTAATCTGATTTACTTTTCAGTCCAGACGCAGCCTATGAATAATTTCGCCGATTAGTATTTACCTAACATAATTGTCATTATAAAGCTATAAAAATCGACAAGTAGCAAATAACATAGGGACGATAAAAATAACTTATCGCAAGATAAGTATCGTATAGGTATGTACGTCGCGTGGCTTCGAGAAAAGCGACCAGAGCGCGCATTCATACATCACGCGAAGGAAAGCCGAAGAGCAGCCGGCAAACGGGCTGCGGCCGGTTTTTGAAGGCACTACTTTACTTCTCGCCTCCGCCCGTGCCCTATCGGCCTAGGAACTTGTACACAATCAATCAAGTATACACTCTCATGTGGTTGCACAACGTATTTTGTTATGGTCGAGTCCATGGCATCTCGTCTGTCCTGGGATGAATTCATCTCTCACATTGATTTGTGTTTACTCCACAGCTAGGCCCCTTGGATTTATAAATTGTCACAATACCTACGAGATGCAAGCGGTGCACACGCGCTACTTATCTCATTAACTTTGGACTGCGATCCCAAGCACACAACACATACTTGATAACATTATCGTTATACCTCAGCACAAGTATATACAAGTGCCATATATCAACGTATTCAACAAATTTTACACTTGGAAAATAAGATGTACTGTTGTTATACATATATTTCACGTGGTGCTCATTACCGGCGGGCACGCAAGATTTTATCACGGGGTGTATAAAACGATTACCCTGAACTCACTATCATCCCGTCGCATCTCTCGGTACCTATTAGGTACATAATCTCTGGTCTAGAGCATATTATAACCGATAGAGAGAGAGAGAGAGAGATAGATGTTCCGACCCAAATGTCGCTCTCAAACGAACTAATTGTTTTTTACGTCTCTTTCCTCGTATAACTGTTATATATTTATATCTCGTTGCTGCTACCGCTGCACAAGTACCGCTTAAGTTTATATTTTATAAGTAAGCCCGGAGACAGGAAAGGAAATATAATGTACCGCCCATTGTCCGGAGCGCTCTGTGCGCGTCACGGTGTGGTCAACCATATGAGAAACTGTTACAATGATAAGCTTGACGAGTTAACGAAACGAAAGGCAGCCTCGCAACACCTCATTCGAGTCGGAGTGGTCTGCATTGCAGGTGACGCGCTCGTCTTCACGGTGGCGACCAACGAGACGGAGGGCTTCCGGCGCTTCGCGCGCTCCACCGAGGTGCACGGCTTCCGGGATCAGCTGCGCGTGCTGGGCCTCGGCCAGGCCTGGCGCGGCGGGGACGTCAAGCGGTACGCCGGCGGCGGCCAAAAGGTCAATCTCTTCCGCGAGGCGCTCGAGGAGTACAAGGACGACGCCGACAAGGTCGTTTTGTTCACGGACAGGTGAGCTAGCTCTTACTCCCACATTTGGATCTCCACTGGTGTTTCGATATACATATGCTTATACTCTGGCTACAATGTTCAGCTACGACGTGATATTCCTGGCCGGACTGGACGACGTAGTGCGCAAGTTCAAGGAGTGGGACGGCGGCGCGAGGGTCGTCTTTTCCGCGGAGGAGTACTGCTGGCCCGACGCCAAACTGGCCAGCGAGTATCCCGAGGTGAAGCGCGGCAAGCGCTACCTCAACTCCGGTGGCATCATCGGCTACGCGAACGACCTTTACGGCATACTGAACAGCGCCGAGATCGAGGACGCCGAGGACGACCAGCTTTTTTACACGAGGGCGTATCTGGACCCGGTGCTGAGGCAGAAGCACGGGATCAAGCTCGACCACAAGTCCGAGATCTTCCAGAACCTCAACGGCGCCGTTTGTGAGTTTATTGTTTTTTCGGGCTCGTCTCGTTGTCGTTTGATTTCAAGCGCGTGGTTCCTTTTCAGACGACATCGAGCTGCGCTTCAAGGGTAACGAGGCGTACGTCCAGAACACGGCCTACAACACGGTGCCCTTGGTCGTCCACGGCAACGGGGGTAGCAAGCTGCTGCTCAACTCCCTCGGGAACTACGTGGCGCGCGCCTGGAGCCCCGAGGAGGGCTGTCTCGGTTGTTGGGACGACACGATCGAGCTCGACCCTCAGCGTCCCGAAGAGTTCCCCGTGGTGCTGGTCGCCGTGTTTATCGAGAAACCGACGCCCTTCCTCGAGGAGTTTCTCCACAAAATCCGCGACCAGCGGTATCCCAAGGATCGGCTGCATCTCTTTGTTCGCAACAACGTGGCCTACCACGACGACTTTGTCCAAGATTTCGTTCGGGAGGTTGGCCAAGAGTACAGGAGTCTCAAGCAGATCAAGCCGGATGACGAGTTTTCCGAGGTGGACGCGCGCAATTTGGCGATGTAAGTCAGCTTTGACTCTCGTTCGTGAGATTTTTTTTTTTTTATGATTGTTTAACGTTTAATTTGTCGCTCTAGGGACTACTGCCTCTCCGTCAAATGTTCTGGCTACTTCTCCATAGACTCAGAGTCGCAGTTGGACAACGAAAACACTTTGAAACTGCTGGTGGAGCAGCAGCGGTTAATCGTTGCACCCCTGCTCGTGCGACCTTTCAAGGCCTGGAGCAATTTCTGGGGAGCTATTACCGACGATGGCTTCTACGCGCGTAGTTCGGATTACATGGACATCATTGACAACGAAAGAAGGTAAATTGCATTTCGCATACAATTTTAGTGTAAATCGAAAAGTTGAAAAACTAATTAAAACTCGAAAGGGCTGTTTGTGGAGTCGTCATTGCACATTACCATGCGATTTTTGAGACAGGGTTGATTGAGAAAAAGTCTACTTTCTAACATAATATAGTCTCTACGTGAGAGCAATACATTTTTTTTAATAATAATTACATAAACTAAAGAAACTCGTCCACAGTCGTCTTATTGAATCTTTTTTTCACACAGTGCAATGTACTCGAACGAAATTTTTTTTCACGGAAAAAAAATTCCGATTTTTAAAACTTTCATCGCGAAATTTTTTCAATTAAAATGTTTTGTACTCTGCTAGATTACAATTTTTACAGTAAAATTTTAATACTTTTGGTAAAAACTGAAAAGAAATTATATTAAAGTATAGTTATAGGTACTTAAAAGTCGTGCATTTCAAGTACAAAAGAGTTTTCATTTATCTGTTGGAAAAAATTTATTTTTCATACTTATTTATTCATTCGTTTGCTTTAGGATTGAAAGTCAATAGAAAAGTTTTAAAACATAATCTGCAAAACCGTTTATAAAACGTAGAGTTTAAATTTCCATAAAAAAAAAGCGTTCGCGCGCGTGGTATCGAATTTCATTACCATCACTCATTGTACTGAGAATGTGAAAACTTTTGAAAAATGAATGTACCCACAGCATAAGTACATACACACACGGAATGGTCCCGAAAAAAAAAGTGCACGTTTTATATTTTTACAACAATAAGAAAATTAAACAAATTTTTAAGGTAAAAGTCTGTAGATGGACACAAATTGTCTTCGAAACTTGAAAAATTTTCAGCCTCGTCGATCTTACGGTATCATTAAACCTTAATCAGTCTGCACTTGAGCACCAAATAAAGTAAAATGGCCCTCGAAAGTGCGAGAAAAGCATATTATATAGTAGTACTTCCACTGTACTCATACGCACTATATATTGGTGTACGTGTCATGGTTATCTTATTCAGTATACATCAAGCACGCGTAATACAGATATACGCCCACATTGGCGTAACATTATTACAAAGGGAGCTAAAAAAAAAAAAAAAAAAAAAAAAAAAAAAAAAAAAAAAAAAAAAAAAAAAAAAAAAAATTAAAAAAAAAAAAAAAAGTTTGTAAAAAGATGTGTATGAGTTTAGTCGAAAGCGATGGAGAAGTCAGTCTTGAAGGATCTACGGTCGATGCTGTACATGTTGTCGGCCGTGCACTCGTAGACCCCGGCGTCCATCTGCGTCGCCGGATCGATCTCGAGCTTCGATTTCACTTGGTCTTTGCCCAAAAACCACTCGTGCACCTTCAACGAACCAATATTCATATATATTATAACATTGGCACAGCGACTGACAAATCCAAATGTATAGCTCATCATTTATACATAGGTATATATAACTCACGTGCAGGTAGAGATGCATGTATATCTCGTTGCCGTCCTTGTACCAAGTAATGTGCGGCCTGGGCGTTCCACGGGCGACGCACAAAAAAGCTATCTTGTGCCCGAGCACGTACTCCAAGTCAAAGTGCGAGGCCAGCAAGATTTTGGCTCCCTGCAACAACACCCACCCGTCCAATAATACAAACACGTATGTATGGTATATATATGCGGCGAAAAAACCAAATAAAAAAAACTGAATTGTCAAGCGACAGGTGGGCGATATTTGCTTACGTGCTGGTTGTTGTAATACTGATCGCTCTCGGGATCGCGGTATTTGCCGGTGATGGGCAGACCGATCTGAACCCTCGATTTGCTCCTGCCCCGGCCCCTGCCTCGCCTCCCCAGAATCTCCTGGCAGCTGAGCAGCATAAGGCCCAGCATGAGCAGCCACGCCGTCCTCCTCCTCCCTGTCATCGCTTCGGTATGATTATATATTTTTTTTCTCTCCCCTGCGAAAACAAAAAAAAAAATATGTATATAATATGTACACAACACAATATACCACTCATTCCAAATGCCAATTTGATGGAACGCGCGTGCATTACGACACACCAGTGATATAAATATGCCATGTATATCCCGTAGCTAATTCTTAATAAATTTCTTCCGCTACCATACACATGTGTATCCTACACGCACAACACGCGTTTATAGACCCTTCGGTAAACTTCCGTCCGTATACGGCGCGCAATAATACCTATTTGTAGGTGAGTATAGGTACACAGTCGCATTGGAACGATGACTCCCTCGTGAGTTACTTGCCAGTGATTTCGATTGTCCCCCTCTGATGGGGTTGTTCGGCGGATCATGTGTACGCCCACCAAATTAACGTTTTAAGAAATTTCGTAGCCGTGAAGGCTATTGGCTGTGCGATGGCACAAATTGAGTCCAATCAAAGGTTCATCGATGCGCAAATGTCACTGTACCAATAATCCATGCATACGAGTACAAATATAGCGTACGCATAATAATACACTGAATGGCAACGGTGGAAAAAAAAAAAAAAAAGCGCGTACTGATGTTTGGTTGCTGTATATAAAATATATAAGTACTCGGTGACAATAATGGTTAAGAGAAGGTGGTATACCTACCTAGGTACAGCGACTGGGACGCTAGCGGTGGAGCAGAGGCTGCACGGACGGAACTCACGGCTCTTCTAACTATCATAGCTCGGATCGGGACACGTATATCGTCCCGTTCTCTCCTCCTCTAGGCCGTCCTATCCATTACCGGCCAACGCGAATAGGTACTGTGCCGATAATGGGCACGCACATGGAAGCTCAAACCACATCAGCTATTTACGGCAGGGAGAAAGAGAGAGAGAGAGAGATTCGCACACGAGATAACAATATGCGCTGAGATTTTCGTCGAAAGCACGATACAAAGTTAGGTGGATTGATTGTTTTTTTACCAGAGCCCGTACATTATATGTATTTCTCAGATCGTTAACACGTTGGCTCATCTAGTTGACGATACATTACCTAATACATACATTGTATACTTATTTGGCATTTATACCTACTAGCCGAGAAGTGAGAAAAGGGGACTAGCGATACGTACAATATGTAAGCGCGTCCTCTCACTCGCAGGTCCATTATTGTCCATTACCACCCATAATATGTGTGTATATATAATATCGGTTGATCGGTATGTGCGCTCGGTTCAATCATCGCGCCGGTTTATACCTTACTGCTTATTTTTATATAGTATATAATGATTCGTACATCCAAACGCCCGCTGACATAATGCGATTGTCGAGTGTGCCTCTCGTACGTGTATGATAATAGGTGATGGGTATACCTTTTATATCTTACACATATACCTACTCACCATACTGTTATTTTTATTGTACGCCTACGGTGGTAATACAACACGAGTAGCACTTATGCAGGGTATGTAACGAGTATCCTGTGTATAATTACGCGTAGTGTGAAATCTTTTAATTAATTTTGACAATTCATTCATCAAAATGGCAATTTGACACGTACTTGGCCATATTACCAGTATACCTACTTTTAGCCTCGCGGTTCAAACTTGGTTTTTTTTTTTCAATACTATACCTATTACTATACTCGGAGCAAATAAAGTGCAATAGTTTTGATCGTACAAATTACATGATAATAATATGTAGCCATCATCAATAATTAGTGACATCGGTATTGTGGCTAAATAAATTTCTATACATTGATGTTCGACATCTGAAAAGAGAAAAAGAAAAACGAGTATTTTTTTTTTTTTTTTAGAAATCACCGACATTGTTCATATCCGTACTTACGTGGCATATGATAGTCACCGCTCGATCGTCTCTACGCACATACACATAACACGATAATGCTTTGAGATGAAAAAATTTGAAGCCTTTTGATTTTTCGGTACAAAATTTTTATTTATCATTTGTTTTCATGACACAGGGCTACAATTTCTTACAATCTAATTTTCATCATATAGTTGTAGTCATGGCACGCACAACATATTTCGATTGGTATAATCTAATATATATTATAATAACTAAGGAGTAATACAAAAGTAATGTCAAAGAGTATACATATAATATCCAAATCTACAAAATTAAATCATGAACTTAAAAAAATATTCCAACGTTTTATCGGTAAAAGTACAATATACTATGTACATACATATACATACATACGTGTAAATATGTGTAATAGACAAAAAAAATGGAATAATAAAAAAAAAGGAAATATTCATAAATTACGCATTCTTTTTTTTTTCTTGATTGGCTCACTTTTTTTGCAAAAGTCCAGTCGATTTCAGTCTTGTGAGTAAATACTCCCTAACACGTAAAAACTTCTGTAAACGCAAATCCTGTTTGCATCAATCAAAAGTTTTGACGCCAAACAATAGAAATCTTGACTTTGGGATCCTATAATCCTCGACTGACCAACACTCGGAGTGCAACGCTATACTCGAAGAAATTATAACTAAAACATCAAAACTACTGTACAACAATTATACTTTACTCACGTACACAACATAACAATAAAATCGGAGCAGCAACCAAAACAATTTCACTTGCTTTCCCCCGTGGAATGAAATATACATAATCGTACAGGAAGCAGCGGAGATAAAAACAGATAGGGGCGGGTCAATACGATATCATGACGTAGTCCGTCCTGAAGCCTCGCCGATCCACGGCGTATTGGTTGTCGGCCTGGCACTCGTAGTAGCCGGCGTCCTTTTGCGTGGTCGGGTCGATCTCCATTTTGGACTTGATCGTGTCGTTGCCGATCGGCCACTCGTGCACCTGTACACGTTGCGAACAATCATCAAACCATGGCTTTACAGGCGACTACATACACACACATATATATGTAGATATACCTGGAAAAATCGGTGGTGGTAAAGCTCGACGCCGTCCTTGAACCAAGTGATCTCCGGCCGGGGAATGCCCGTGGCCATGCAGAAAAAGGTAATCTTCCGGCCCAGCATGTAGTCGAGCTCAAAGTGCGACGCCTTTGTTATTCTGGCTCCCTAAAAATTATACACACACACACAGCGGCTACATCAAATTGCTCGCGGTCAATGACAATTTATCGGCCCGGACCCGGACGTCCCCGACCACTTAGCACCGAGCTGACGCAAAACCAGTCGGCTCGATCGTTACGTGGTAAACCTCGTACCTCCGAATCATATTTAATACGATCGAGGGTTGAAAACAAAAAAAAAAAAAGTTTTGCCCCGGCAACGATCGTGTGACCTTTATCGAATCCAGATTGATCCATACAAAAAGCGGATTGCGTTGACGGTGCGCGCGAGCACTTAAGAGGGGGGGGGGGGGAAATCCAAACTCACGTCCTTGTTCTCGTAGTAGTTGATAGCGCCGGGGTTGCGGTTGGGTATGGGTATCGGCATGCGCGAGCCGGTGTAGATGCGACCGCGGCCCCTGGCGCCACCCCGGCCCCGGCCACCTCCACCGCCCTTGGCCCCGTCCACGCGGGGCGGCATCGTTAGGGCCCAGCCGAGCAGCAGCCCCGCCAGCAGCAGCGCGCTCCTCCTCATTTGACCTTGAACGTATCACCTATTGTCATACAAGTCAGTGTACACGATGTAATAAGGGTGTGGATGGGTTTTTTTTTTTTTTTTTTTTTTAATTACTACAAGTATTGTTTCCCTCTCGCGGTGATTGCTCCGTCAGTATTAAGGAACAAACAAAAAACTCACTTATACGCACCATAAATTGTGTTTGACAAGATAATTAAACTCACAAAAACAACGCTATGAGCCGAGGATGATTTGTAAATCTCTGCTTTGAAGAAATTGGGTAGTTGTTGTGACGAGAAAAAAAAAAAGTAATAATAATAATAATTAAAATAAAAATAAAACAAGGAAGCAGGGAGCCGTCCGAGCCAGCGCACGAGACGCGCCAATACCAGCTGACGCGATACTGGACGGCGAGGCGGCAGCAGTGCCCGCGCGCGGCCGAATCATAAATCCCTTCCGCGAGTCTCGTCGGGGAAAAAAAAAAAAAAAAAAAAAAAAAAAAAAAAAAAAAAAAA